CTATTAACTTAATCCGGTTCCATAAAGCCTCCTTTCTCCGCTGACTCATTTTCCATTGTGCAGATAGGGAACAGAAACCGCATGCCTTTGATCTCCAGTCGTAGAGATGCTGCGTGCCATGTCACCCAAAATACCACAGAAAGGAGACCCTGCTGCTGCTGCTAAAAACCCCAAAACCTTCAGAATTGAAACTTTTACAGAAAATTCTTTGCCGTGCTGAAGTTTCCCACCCACCCACACTGCACACACCAAACACATCCCCGGGTTTTCTCCCAGCGAGGATGACATTTTCTTCAGCCTGGCCAGAAAGCCAAAAACCCTCTGACAAATTTGCAAACCAGCACGAATCCAGCCCCAACTTTCCTTATCTGTAAAGATGGAGAATTAATATCCAGCATCACTGGGTATGCTGAGGTCAAGAGGTTGCAATGAACGGTAGTAACTCCTCCCTGCACACCTACAGACAGGCTGCCAGAGCAGAGCAGGACACCAGGGCTCCAGCAGGTCCTGGTAAGCCTTCCTGGTGACATGCATGAAGTGTCCAAGCCCTCGGGCTCGGGTTCAAGAGCTGCTGAGTCGCTGCCTCCACCTGAGGAGGAAACTGAAGCCACCACCAACCTTGGAGAAGGGACAAGGACCAAGTCCCCCCACCTGTACTTACTCCTCCTGGGGTCACACACTGGCCTGCACCGTAACCAAACACATGGATCATGAAATCACAGCATCACTGCATGGTTTGGGTTGAAGGGACCATAAAGCTCATCCAATTTCAACCCCCATGGGCAGGGACACCTCCACCAGCCCAGGCTGCTCCAACCCCGTCCAACCTGGCCTTGGGCACTGCCAGGGAGGGGGCGCCCACAGCTTCTCTGGGCAACCCAGGGTCACAAGCGCTGCCCCCCAGGTCTGAAATATGGCAATAATCCCATGAGACACGAGCCTAGACTTGAAGGAGCCTTCCAGATGTCATTAGCAGCTCCTCAAGTGGTTGGTGTCACACACTGAGGTGCAGAGGCCACTTCTCACACAGACACATGAGGTTGGTACAGGAGCTTTTCTGTACCCAGCACCCAGCAGGGCAGAAAGTGTCCCCGTTAAAACGGGAGCACTCTGGAAATACAGTCAGGGTTAGCACAGAAACAACCCTCGTTACTGCAAACTGATCCTGCACTTTGGTGCTTAATGCAAAGTACTGTCATGAAATCCCTGGCAGCAGTGAGTCTATAAGAAGCAGATACCCACATTGACTATGTCCTCAAGATGTGTATTTTCACACATTGTAAAAATAAAACAAAAACAACCCAACAGCTCAGCCCAAAACCAGGCTGCCCTGACACAAGGCGCAGTAGGAGCAGCTCTTCTGAGGCACACGGTGCCATCTGCAGTCTTAGTGCGGAAATTCACGCACGGGCAATCGAAGTTAGGAAAGAGCTTGCAGCCCCCCGAGATCCGCACACCACAAGTCACCGGATCGTTCTCAATACATTTACTCACAAACCCCCGCTAATGAACGCACAGCCAAGCCACAGCAGGTCAGCACAAAGAAGAGCAGAGGGACGGGCTCGTGTTCCTGGTTGTGTCCCCATGGGTGCAGTGGCCGCAGGGAAGA